TCTTTAAGATCATTGTTGTAATCATATTGTTCGTGGTTATTTGTTTCAGGGTCACTCTGGAAAAGATGGTCCGTCAGGAGACAAGGGAGACACGGTAAGAGCATGATACATAATAATTACATGGAAATATTTAGTCCTATTGCTAATTTGTATCTGTGATACGAAACAAAGTGTTCGTTTTGTTACTAATAAATCGATGAAACTGTCTTGTTAGTAACATAAATATGACTGTATATTCACTATATTTTGATCGTTATACAGGGAGTTGGCGGGCCTCAGGGGCCTCTTGGGTATGCTGGTCCAATTGGAATGAAAGGAGACAGAGGTATACGTGGTCAGACTGGTAGTAAAGGTCAGAAGGTAAAGAGTTTAAACTCATATTGTGAGATATCCGAAATCGACACCCCTGTATATGTGGCATCTATTTTATATGAATGCATTAAGTAAAATGTAATATGAGATTCCATTTTTATACTGCGATGCTTTTTACACATGTGTTCATATAAATGTGAACCGTTTCCCGCCATAATTAACAATCATTATAGTCCGAGCTACTTTGTAGCGATTTTTGAAAAAAAGTATTGATTATCATATATCAATAGTGAATACTGAAAGTGTAGACTATTATCCTGTCACTTTTGCTTTGTTCAATCAAGAGATTCGTTTATGGGACACATTTACATACAGTCGTCCAATTGACGTACCTGAGAGCTACTAGTAACATAATGTCGTTATACCAGTAGTTATGTTTGTGTCTCTAGGGTGCTGAAGGTTACCAGGGATTTAAAGGTGACATGGGTCCGAAGGGGAATAGGGTAAGATTGTGTAGCCTTAGTCTGTCAGTACACCATAAACAAGTTATAAACAAGAAAGACGCGAATTATGTGTGAAGTTTTTAGCGTATAGTTTTCATAATTGCGGTCAATGTTTCTTTTCGAGTCAAATCAGCCATCTTGTTTTTTTCACTATAAGATAATCTACAAATCAACTGATGTAATCAACTGTTTAGTTTACTGCACAATTTATATACGTTTTTGACACGGCTCTTGTTTTACAGGGGGCCAATGGTGAAACAGGTCCACGGGGGCCAGAAGGGAATAACGGTGTTAAGGTGAGTAATTGACTACTCCCTCGAGTGCCAGGCGATCTTTCTCGATACGATCAGACCTTTGGTGTCATGCCATCTGTGTCGATAACGCCTCGGCCTTGGATGCCATGCCATCTGTGTCGATAACGCCACAGCCTTTGGTGCCATGCCATCTGTGTCGATAACGCCACAGACTTTGGTGCCATACAAAGTATCCATAACGCTGGTTCAATTTCCATGTGTTTTACTTTTTGTTACAGTTTGTAATTTGTTTGGAGATACGCATAATATTGTAACTTGTTTGTAGTTATACCCTTGTGTAGTTAATAGTCAGTTTATTATAACGTCCACCTGGGTATATTATGAAGACAGTACAGCGGGAGTATCCACCGACGCGCAGCAAAGCAATAACCTTATTATTATACATCTTTTCATCCAAAGCATACATCATGGGAATGCCGAAATCCAAAAAGTTTCGAACAGATTTAGCGAACTTGTTTGTTCCCTATGGACTGTCATGTTTGTTTTTATTATTAGAGGACGCTTACGTGCGTAATTGTTCAATATTTGGAATTTGCATTACCTAATATGGTAAAATGCAAATACCCGGTGCAATACCGCAAATTTACGGCACGCTGTAACTTAGGGCGTTACGATGACAGATGCATAATAATACTATTTACTGTGGCTCTCACGAATTAGTATGATTATTAACCTTATAAAATTCACAGATCGTTATTAAAATCATATTTTAATTTCAACCTTGTAAACACTAAGACACACATTTTATCGGCAAGTAGCTACCCCGGAACAACAATGCCTAGAAACATTAGCAGAATCAACACACGTAATTAAATGTGTGTCAGTATGGGTATAGGTGGCGCTTTACTCGTTGTTTCGTACGTAAAAGTCCACATGAGCAGTCTGTAACGCAATCAGCCTTCGAATCTCAATGTTCTTTATACAAGTTTACAGATATTTATGAAGTCACACTTATATTAGAAACACACTATGGAAATATAATATGGAAATATGTAAGAAATATAACACTAAGACAAAACAAAAATCTAAATAGGCATCACAATTGTACATATTCATTTTTCTTTTATTTCAAGGGTATCCAAGGAATACAGGGCGATGCCGGTGCAATGGGCCCGCCTGGGGAAAAGGTATATACTTCTATTTTCGTAGTTGCCGCAGAAATCTCGTTCAGCACGAGAGAACACAGAGATTTGTTTATTCTCTTCAACTTCAAAACAATTTTCTATTCTCCTCCTCATCTCGTTTACTGGTCATCTGAATTATGTAACCATGGTATTTGGGGAAAGTTATCGCCGTGACAGTGAAACACGAAACGCCATTTTAGAGAAAAATTAGTCTTGGTCCTAACGAGTTCTTAGCGGTCATTTTGCACTCCACGGTTTATTCTAATCGCAGAAAGAAATGTATACGAACCAGCTGCCGTATATCGGATCGAATTTTTAAACGAAATCCACATGGGCGGAACAAGTTGAAACTATTCCATAATGATCGAAACAAAACTGCATTTATTGGAAGTCTGACAAAAAATCTCTGTCAATAGTTGTAATGAAATGAGTTCTAAACATCTATAGAATTTAAACAGTTGTTGTTTACAATTCATTTCAGGGCAAGATGGGGATACCTGGTTTACCAGGATATCCAGGTAGAATGGGACAGAAGGTACGTTATATCCTTTATTACAATTTACGATCAGAATCTTGTTTGCAAGTCACCCCTTTCGTCATTTTAACATACTAATATAACGGTAGCAACGTCGTACAATGTAAACCGGAAGCTTAGGTCCATGCTATGACGGGGTATATATTAATGTCTTAAATAATGCCAAATTCAGAGAGAGACAAACCTTTTTACCTTGCCCGTACCATCAAAGATGGAAGGGAAAGGTATATTAAGGGAAAAATTTTGTCCGGCGTTGTCGTTGTCGTTGTCGTCGTCGTCGTCGTCGTCGTTAATAATTGTTATTGTGAGCATAATAACTTTACTAATTCTATTCCAAACTTTATCAAACTCACTGATCTCAGTGGAAATATGCATTGTTGTATGTGTTCAATGAAGCAAATGATTTATCTTGTAATAATATCCTTGGTAATGTATCTCAGAATCCCATACTGGGTTTCAAAACCAACTCATGGAGAGATTGCACAGTCTGATACACATTTGCAAACCTACCAATAAAATCTTTACAGAAAACAAGATGTCAGAAAATCAATATAAGCACTCCTATGAACTGGGTGCCTAACTTTGATCAAGATCTGAAGCTAATAGAAACTCTGTTTAGTTCAAAGTTATCAAATCAAAAACAATACATAAAAATACATTAAAAGCAAAACAATTCATCCACATTTTAAAAAGAAAATTATTCTAAAATATATGTATTCTGTATTTGACAAACAGTTCATTCGACAAATGAAAACTCACAGGAATATGTTTCAGCTATTAGAACAGAATGATAGAGTTTTTATAATACTAGTTTAAAAACGCACTTCAGAGA